GGAAGCCCTCTTTTTCTAATTCTTTTTTTGTTTTTTAATTTGGCTGTGCCAGATCTTAGTTGCAGCATGTGGGATCTAGTTTCTTGATTAAGGATCGAACTCAGGCCCCCTGCATTGGAAGCGCAGAGCCTTAATCACTGGACCACCAGGGAAGTTCCACTTTTTCTCTGTAGCATGATCACTACTTGACATCCTATTAATCCTCACTGAATATTTGCTTACTATCATTCTAGAATATTGGCTTTGCTAGAGCAGGGATCCTTGTTCTATTCCCAATTGAGTGCCCCATGGGGGCCTGGCACACAATACTTGCTCAAGAAACATTGACTTAGTGGATACCAACAGCCAGGGGTTTGGAGACACACAATCTGAGACCCTTGTGTGCTGTATCTTGAGAAGCCCTCAAGAGCTTCTCCATGCTGGACACTGGTGGTGGGGTGGGGAACTCATGGTCGAGAACACAGAGGTGGTGCACTTGGGCCTCTGAAGTCATGGTCCAGTAGGGGAGATGAATGTGAATGAAACAACCCTGGATCAGTACCGAAGTGAAACATTTAATTAAGATTTTTAATTATTTTTGGCCATACCACGTGGCTTGGGGGATCTTTGTTCCCCAACCAGGGATTGAACCTGTATCCCCTGCAGTGGAAACACAGAGTCCTAACCATTGGACTGCCAGGGAAGTCCTGAGATGTGAAACTCCTGAACGTCTTAGAATCTCCACAGGTTCTAAGAGGAAATGAGTTCTAAGAGGCTGAACTAGAGCCTGATGTGAGGTGGGAGGGGTTTCCCTTTTAGGCTGGATGGTCAAGGAAGGCTTCTCAGAAGATGTGGTGTCCCCGCAGAGCACACTCCCCCCCACCCGCAAAGAAGAAGGTAGCAGCTACAGGAGGAGGTGCGGGAGGGAGTTCTGAGCCGAGGATGAGTCAGGGATCCGAGGGCTGAGGAATCTGACCCCAGGCCGTCTCCACAGGCTCAGTCAGGAGAGACAAAGGGGGTCTCAGAGGGGCTTATCTTCCCTCTGAGGTCAAACAGGCCTCCCTCACACCCCCCACAGCAGGGACCATCCCGCCCACCCTTGACACTCCCCTCCCTCCGTCCCTCCCTCCTTGCTTCCCTCCCCCCTCCCCTTCTCTGAGTAGTGGTGGCCTGTATGTCCTAGCAACAGCGGCAGAGCTCAATGTCTCTCCCATGTGGCTTTTGGCTTCAGGTTGGGGACACCCGTTGGTGGGGTCAGAGAGAATATGAAAGGAGAAGGAGAACACAGGTCTATGGAAGGAGGCAGAAGGGGACATTCTGCAGGCGGGGGTGGAGGTGCCAGATGAAGGGCCCACTTGTGTCCACGTGCCATCTATGTGTCTTTCATGTGTGTCTGTGCTGCGCATGTGTGTCCTGTGTCTTATCAACATACATGTCTCTCGGTAGACAAGTGTTGTTCTGTCCTGTGTGTGGTCTGTGTCTGATGATCGACAGCACGCCTGTGTCTCCTGATGTATCTCCTGTGTGTTTTGATGTACCTTTCAGCTTGTGTGTCTGTCTTGGGTCTTTAAAAAAAATTTTTCTTTTTTAAGTTTTGGTTGCACTGCATAGCATGCAGGATCTTAGTTCCCTGGCCAGGGACTGAACCCTTGCCTCCTGCCTGGGGGGCACAGAGTTTTAACCGCTGGACTGCCAGGGAAGTCCTTGTGTCTGTCTTCCTGAATGTGCTGCCTCTGTGTGTGCTGGCAGTTGCCCTCTATAGGATGTTGTAACAAAGGTGACTAATTGGTGGGGAAGGAGCTGTTTAGATGACTGTGTGTCCCTTGGAAAACCCCGTGAAAAAACCCCTCCCCCACATTCCTGGGCCAGGGGAGAGGCAGGTGAGGGCGCGCAAGGTGGGATCCCAAAGTTAGAGTGCCCCTTCTGAACAGATCTATTCTTTATTGTCACTTCTATTAACAACATGAGTGTCACTGTTGACAACACTTCCTGAGGGGGGTGCTCAGCCAAGCCTGATTGAAGCAGGAGCCAGAGAGGGGGCTAGTGACCCCCTGAACCAGGAGCTCTGGGGCCTTGAGGCCTGGGTCTTCCATCTGAGGTCTCTGCACAGGGAGGGGGTGGAGAGGAGGTAGGCTGGACCCCTGAAGACTCAGGCTTTTTCCCCTAGGAGGAATTCAGCCTATTTTCCCCCTGGAGAAACAGGCAGGACAGGCTTGGCTGGGTGAGGAAGGGCTTACCCTTCCTGAGCTGAGGCTGAGTGGGGGCCCAGGGACACCCCACATCTGCCACATAGCTTCTTGGGCTGCACATTTTTCCTGGGCACCAGCCAGCAGCTGGAGCACCGGGTGCCATATTTCTTGTACCTGGGATGGGGGTGCAAGAAACAGACATTCAGCAGGCAGGGGGAGCCCAGAAACTGCCAGGAGGGAGGCACATTCCCAGAGGTGGGTGTTTTCCCAATACCCCATGCTGGCTAAGCAAGGACTCAAGTGAGGACCCCACCCCAAATCCCTCCTTCCTTTTGAGGACCTGATACCACAAGCGTTGCAGAGAGGGGTACCATCTTCAGCATCTCTCCATAGCGGGGTCCTCTCGGTCCTACAGGAAGCACAGCGGCGGGGTGCCAGGGCCTCGCTGCCTCCTGGGTTGGCCTCTTGGCCTCTGGCAGGGCCTGGAGCAGGAGGCTCTGGAGAACGGCTGCTGCAGGCCAGGCTGTAACTGGGTATAATCTGTAGGCTGGAATCCGGCTTTATCTGAAACTTCAGGGTCACCTGCTCAAAGAGAGGGTCCACATTTTTGGCGCTCCGCTGGGGGTTTGATTGCTTCCGGGGCCTCCTCTGTGGTTGGGCTGGAGGAGTCGGGGGAGCCCGTGGGGGCCCCAGGTTGGGGCTCTGCTGGTTGGCTGGGGTCAGCATGTTCTTGACATCCTNCTATGGCCAGCTTTGCCAGGTTGCAAACTCAATTCTCCCGTGTCCTTGCTGTGTGACAAGGGATCTCATCCTCTGTGCCTCAGTTTCTGCATCTGTAAAGTGGGCTTCACAAGGCCTCAGCGAGTCCATACACACCAAGTGCTGTTGCCTCCATGGCTGGTGTCAAGTCTGACAAATGGTAGCTATTATCATCGCAGGAAAAACTAACAGAAGCAGCAGCCCCCGGGTATAGTGAGGCCATTTCACTAGGAGAAGACTCGGGCTCAGTCCTGGACTTGACTGACTCATAGCAGAAAGGATAGGAACTGGCATCGGCCTGAGGTTTTGCTCAGAGATGAGGCTGTTTGGACTTCCCTGGCAGTCCAGTGGGTAAGACTCTGTGCATCCAATTCAGGGGCGAGTGTTCCACTCCTGGTCAGGGAACTAAGATCCCACATCCCACAGGCCAAAAAAAGTTTTTTAAAAATATAAATAAATAATAAAAGAAGAAAGGCAGTTACAGAGATGAGGCCATTTGTAATGCAAGGCTGGGGTGGCAGTGCGCCACCTGGGAGCACCTCCCCGCCCCCCAGCACTATTATTATTGTTCAGTTGCTGATTCGTCTCCAACTCTCCTTGACCCCATGGACTGTAGCCTGCCAGGCTCCTCTATCCATGGAATTTCCCAGGCAAGAATACAGGAGCAGGTTGCTATTTCCTTCTCCAGGGGAATCTTCCCCACCCAGGGATCAAACCCGCATCTCCTGCATTGGCAGGTGGATTCTTTACCACTGAGCCACCAGGGAAGGCCCACTGCTATTATTATTACTTAAGGGTGCCCTTGCCCAGGCCAGCTCCTACCTGTAACTGGGTATAATCTGTAGGCTGGAATCCGGCTTTATCTGAAACTTCAGGGTCACCCCCTCAAAGAGAGGGTCCACTTTTTCGGCGCTCCGCTGGGGGTTTGATTGCTTCCGGGGCCTCCTCTGTGGTTGGGCTGGAGGAGTCGGGGGAGCCCGTGGGGGCCCCAGGTTGGGGCTCTGCTGGTTGGCTGGGGTCAGCATGTTCTTGGCATCCTTGGCTAGAGGTAGGGGTCCCGGGATCTCCAGGGCCTTCGGCTCCCCGTAGGGCCCTAGGGCCTGGGTGTCCCCGGGGGTCTGGGCTAGCTCCTCTGTTGTCTCTTGGAGGAAAGGCAGGGCGGTGACCGAGTCTTGGTGTGCAGGCCAGAAGGACCTGGGGACAATGGCCAGTGTGGTCACCCCCTTCCGTGGGCGGCAACTACAGGGGTCTCAAAGACACGGAGCAAGAACTGCACAGTCTCTGACCCCCATATGACCCCCAATATCCCTGGGGATCAGGATCTCGTCCTTGCAAGTACCAGTAACTAACATTTTGACCCCTGAGTAACCCCAGGAACCAGAGATCACGACCCATTGACCACTGGGCCAGGTGGGGGGAAGGGCTGCTCGTGAACGCACCTGCCGCTGGGTCTGAGGCATCCTGGGGTCCTTGGTGTCTGCTGGATCGGGGGTTCCGGGGGCGGCTCGGAGTTCAGATAGGGCGGCGCTAGCAGCTCTCGCAGCATGGCGAAGTCCGGGGATGGCTCGGCCTCCATTGCCTCCTAGCCCAGCCCCCCTTCCCAAATCTGGCCTGGCCCCGCCCACACCGGGCCCACTTGATGAGCCCCACCTGCGTGGGGGGGTCCGCTTCTGGCCGAGGGTGCAAGAGGCTCCACCTGGGGGCGCGGGGGCAGGGCTGGCCAGTAGGATTGGGCGCCTCTAGCGGGCGATGTTGGGCACGGGCTTTCAAGACTCCACCCTCAGGCCCGCCTGGGTCCCTCGCTCCCTTCCGAGTCTGCTCAGACTACTTGATTACCCCTTGTAGCCAAGGGCGGCCTGGGCCCTCCAAATCCCTCCGCGACGGCGGGGCGGGGCCTTGCCAGGCTGATCCTCTGGCTCCCGGAACCTCGTCTTCAGACATCTCTGCCTCAGTTTCCCGCTGGCCCATCACCGCCGTGGTAGGGGAAAGCTGGGGAGGTCTGGAAGATGCAGCTGTAGACCCCAGAGCCTGCACCCCACTCCCACCAGCCCCAAGGACGCTCAAGATGCTAGGTTATCTGTGAGACAGTTTTATTATCGCTCCAATTAGATTCCACCCCTATCCACACCGCCATTCTCAGGAGCTTGGTTGAGGCGGCCCCAATAGGGGACCTGGCCCCACCAGAGCTGGGACATGGGATCTCTCTGAAGCCAGGGTTTTGACTTTCTGGGTGCTTCCGCCATCTCTCTCGGATCTGTCCGCGCCCTGGGCTGGGCTGGCATCTTGGCTGTGTTCTTCCAGTCCTGGCCCTGGGGTCGTCAGTGCCTGGGACCGTCCAGCTGCGCCTGTCAGTGGGGCTTGGGGACGTGGCCATCCACATAGAAGTTTCTGGTGATCTTGGGCAGGGTGAATTCGGCCCCTTCCAGTTCAGGCGTCAGCACGATCTGGCAGCCCAGCCGGGAGTTCTCTTGGAGGAGGGGGGCCATATCCAGCATGTCGTCCTCCCTGGGGTAAAGGGCGGTAGCAAGTTGTTAATGGGTCCAGGGGTAGGGGCCAGAAGGGAAGCTCTCCCGCCAGCAGCTTGAGGGGAGAGAAAAGCTGGGGCTGCCCTCTGCTATGGCCTGGGCGGATTCCGGAATGCCGAGGCTCAGCAACCAAGCCTTGCAGCTCAGAGCTGGGAGGGGGCCACCCTGCTCACCTCTCATCAGGAGGCGGCAGAAGGTCCAGGTGGTCCTCACTCACATACACGTGGCAGGTGGAGCACGCCAAGGAAGCTTCGCAGGCCCCTGGGGGCGGCAAGTGAGGGACCATTGGTGAGGGACCATGCTTGGGCGAGCGCCATTCAGAGAAGGACTTAAAAAAAAAAAATCCCTTTGTTTCTTATTTTTTGGGGGGTGGGGTGGGGAGCTACACCCTGAGGCTTGTGGGATCTTAGTTCCCGACCAGCGATCAAACCCAGGTCTATGGCAATGAAAACTGGCCCACTGAAGAATCCCGTGAATCTCTTTGTTTCACCACGTGACTCTCATTTCTCCCTCCCAGGCCTGCACACCCACTGTGTGCATCCTCCACCCTGTCACTGACTTGGCTGACTGTTGCTCATCTGCACACAGGTTTTGCAAACGGACTTCAGGGTTTCCCCCAAACTCTCCAGCAGGCTGACGACCAGGCTGGTACCTGGTACAATAAATGAGCGTGAACTGGACTTCAGTGTATCTGAGAGGGGACAGGCCAGACAGGTTCCCTGTAGCCTCTGAACCCTTGCTGTGACCCTGCCACTTTGCTGGGCTGCCCTGATGCTCCTGAAGGAGGGACCGACTCACTCACTCAGCATCTAGTGCTGCAGCAGGAGAAAGGGTCAGGAAATAAAGGGGTGAAAGGTACAGAGTTGAGGGTTTCCTGCTTGCCCCTAGACACATTCCCAAGCTTCTGATTGAGCACCGAGCTTCTGAATAATGTCCTCTTCCAAAGGGTTTTCATAGCTAGAAATCCAAACTCCTCACCTCAGTCCTTGAGATTCTCCCACCTACTTCAGCCACCCCGGCCCCTTCACTCCATTCCTCCATGCCAAGCTCACCCCCTACCACAGGACCTTTGCACTTGGCGTACTCTTGATCTGGAATGCTCTTCTCTGCAGTCTTTCGAGAGCTAGGTCCTTTTTGTCTTTGGGCACTATTCAGTTGCCCTCCAAGTTCCCATCTCCTATTTCTTGTCCTTCCCCCAACTCTTGTTATCTCTAAAAATTTCTGGACAGCATTTATCACAGTCTGAAGTTACCACCATCATTTCTGGGTTTCCCTGTGCTCTGTCAACCTGCCTCTTCTCTCTGCATTCAGCACTGAGCTTGGGAGGTTGTAGATGCCTCGAGAGATACCTGTTCTAAGTAAACAGGACAGACTTCTCCTTTCTCTTCCAGACAGGCTGGACCATGAGGGTGGAGCTGCAAGGCAGCTTTCTGACCCAGCAGACCCTCCGTGTGGGCTGCAGTGACTAAGCTGCCCACTGCTGGGAGCCGTTGTGAGAGATCCCACCCATGACGAGGTCAGGAAGAAAATACCTGACAGGCAAGGCCATCCAGGATCCCATCCATGACGAGGTCATGAGGAAAAAAACCTGACAGGCAAGGCCGTTCAGGATATAAGGGACCCTCCAGGTTGGCCTCGGCCTCCACCCCACCCTGTATCCTCCCCTCCTTTTCTGCTGTTGTTCTTGTTTGCCCTGCTGTGGATTCTTGTGTTGCCTGCTGAGAGTTCTGCTCCTCTTTCACTGAATAAAGACCAACTTAAAATCCTAATTAATAAATCTCCTAGTACCCTATGAAGGGGCCAGGGATGAAGGAAATGCTTCAATTCAAACCCTTTTGCTGGCATTCTGGCTTGTTTGATAAATGTGTGCTCTCATTGCACAAAATGCTCATGATTGTTCTAAACATCCTAAGCACAGTACGCTAATAAAAGAAACTATTAAGCATAGGTCCCTCATTGGGGTGAGAAAAGCTCCACAAATAAAATAGCCACAAATGTGCCTAATAGAAAATACTTTAGATAGAGATTAGCTGGCGACTTCTTGCAGGTAATTAACTTTTAGACTAAGAGCCTGTTTTGTGCCATATCTGCTGTTTTTGCAATCCTTTGCATTTCTGTCCTATAAAAATGTAATCCTATCTAGTTCCCATGGAGATGACACCTAATAGAAAAAAAATAGATTAACTACCAAAAAGACAGGGTCGGCTACTGAAATTGCTTAAAGTTACGCCAGGTGCAAGCCCTAAATTGTCAACAGGCCTGAAAGCCAAAAGATATTATACATAGAGATTAACCATAAAAAAGGCCCTAATAGGCACAGAGCCCTTTGGGGGGTGAGGAAGCCCTATTAGAAAATACAAAAAATATTGTTTTAAAAGTGGTTATTAGATCAACGTTTGATTGATGTTAATGTGCTGAGGTTGTGCAGTGGAAACTATTGTTAATATAGTTGGAGATCTAGAAAAATAAGAGTTTAGCCCTAGTGTAAAAACAATAAGATAATTGTTAATTTTAACCAGGAGTGCTAAACAGGGGCTGCCTCACCAGAGCCGCAGAGTCTTTGTGTGTTAAACTTTTTAGATAAATTTAGCTGAGAACTTCTGCAAAAAGACTGACTTTTACGTTAACAGGATTGTATTTCTATTCTGTTGCAACCTGCTGTATCATGAGAACTGCCACTTTTCTGTTTTCTGCTGAGCTCAAGGCCAGAAGATAATGTACAAAAAATCTATGGGAAAAGACTCTCATAAACAAAAATATACAGAGCACACCTGGTTTCGTGAAGGACAAGCTGATGTAATGTTAAACTAAGTCTGTATGCTTATCTCCCCCTTAGAAATGTACCAACTTAGGGTATAAAGGCGATGGTAGAAAATAAAGCAACTGCCAGACTCTGCTGCACACTCTGGTCTGGTCTCTTTCTCTGTCTCTCTCTCTCATTCGCTGACGCCGTTCATCCTGAGGGTTCCCCTGGATCCTGCTGGGGCTTGACCCCAGCAGCCCACCTTCCCTGTCTGGGGAAGAAACAGTCTGGGCCTCAAAACTCAAGTCATCCACAGGTGTCTCTTAGCCCTCTTTCCCAGCTCATTAACATTCTTACCACATGAGATAGAGATAACCTAATACAATCATTCCAACTACTCACTGCACACCAACCACGTGCCAGGTATTACACACCGCACACATGAAATCTGCTTAAACCTCACAGTAACCCGGTGAGATATGAACTAAACTATCCTACTTTACAGATGATGAGGCTGAAAGATGCTAAGTAACTTGCTCTTGTTCTAACCTTTGTCATGAACTGCCAGCCACTGGATTCCAGAACAGAACTTAAGGTAGGTCTGCCAGGACTGCCCCCAATTCTCCCCCCTCCCCCAAACACTGTCTAATGATTAAATCAGCTCATTATATACACCGGGGCTTCTCAGTGGTGCAGTGGTAAAGAATCCGCCTGCCAATGCAGGAGATGCAAGAGACGTGGGTTTGATCCCTGGGTCAGGAAAATCCTCTGGAGTAGGAAATGGCAACCCACTCCAGTATTCTTGCCTGAAAAATTCCATGGATAGAGGCTTCTGGAAGATTACAGTCCATGGGGTTGCAGAGTCCCATACAACTGAGCATGCACTCATGCCACGCATACAAACATACACCCAACACTATACACTTTTTAAAAGACCACTCTCCCAGGTGCTCATGATATAATTACATGTTTATGCATGGGATTATTGTCCCTATCAGGTTGAAACTGGTGTGAAATGACAAGGGCCTTATCTGCTTTTTTACATTACTACCTGGCACACAACATGTGTTCAATATTCACAGAAGAGCAGCACAGATTAGTGGCTAAGACAGGCTGGGTTTGAATCTAGTTTTGCCACTTACTTGACCTTGGACCAGGTCTGCTCAACCTGGGGCTCAATTTCCTCACCTATAAAACAGGATAACATTCTCCCCTATTGCATAATGTTGTCATGAAATAGATTCAATCAGTTAAAACGTGGTAAGGGGCTTAAAGTAATGTCTGCTATTATTTATCTTTCCTTTAACAAATACTGACTTAATACCTGTCACATCTAAATACCATGATAGGCAACAGATACGTGTGAACAAGGCAAACAGGGTTTCTGATCTCATTTTGGGGAGAAATGACAAAGAAGGAAACAAAACAATGAGAAGTGCTATGCAGACAATACAACACACTAATATGAATAGAGTTATTGGGGCATGGGGACTGCAGTTGGGCTGAGAGGGATAAGATTGTCAGGAAGATGACATTTACATCAAGACCTGAAGGATGAGGAGCCAGAAGGTCTGGTGGGAAAGCACTTTTGATGGAACACCAAACGCGAAGGCCCTGAGGCAGGCATGAACTTGGCTATTTGAGGAACAGCAAGCAAGTCAGTGTGGCTAGAAGAGAGGGAGGAAAAAGGAAGAAAATACAAGCTCCTGGCGGGCAAGAGTTTTAGGAACCTCTAGTAAATGCTCAATAAATAACTGCTGAATGAATAAAGGTTAAGAGAGCAGAGGATGAGATCCTGGTGAGGATTCTGAAGTTTAACCATGTTGGGTGGGAAGCCGTGCAAGATTAAATAGTAGAGAATCCTATCTGACTCGTGGGTTTTCTAAACGAATGAATAAAGATATCCCCAATTCCCTGTGCCCGGCTCCCACCTTCCAGATCCAACCCATGGCGCTGGGCCAGGTGGAGAACATTGTCCCCGACTCTGCCGCTCACCGGAATCCGTTGGCCTGACCGATCCACGAACACCACGTTCACCCTGGGGACAGATGACAGTGCAGATGCCTCAACTGGATGATGGGCGCAGGGGCCAGGTGGAATATAGGGTTAAGAACTCATGTTTGGGGTTTGACGAGACATGGAAATAAGGTGATGCAGAATGGGGGGGCACAGGGATGAGGTTGTACGGCAATGTGGGGACGGGAGGAACCCCGTGCTAGTAGTAACGGGGGACTTGGTTCCCACACTCACACGTCCCCGGGCCGCTCGGGGCCGCCGGCTTCTTCCTCCCCCGCCGGGCGCGAGCCTGGAAAACACGGTTGGGTGAGCTGCCGTGCCGGGCCCAGCTGGCGTGCGATGGGTTAACGATGCCCACCCGAGGCTCCCCAGGTACCTGTCGCCCGGAATTTCCTGGCTATCGCTGGCGCCGCCGCCTCCCCAGACCCCCAAAAGCCCCCAGGTCGGCTCCACCAGGCACCCCTGGCAGCCCGCAGCAGGAACCCAGCATTCACACCTCCCCAGGCCACGGACGCGGCCATGACAGGCATCACGTGACCACAGACTGAGCATGCGCCTTGACGCCTTTAGAAGCGACGGCCCTGTAATTACCCGAATACAAGCGCCTTTTTTTTTTTTTGGGCATCGCTGCAAGCGAAAGAGGCGAGTCCCGGGGAGGTTGCCAAACTGGAAGCGCAGTGCGCAGGCTCGGATGAGCCAAGACCTGCAGGGCTATCCCAGACCTCCCACCCAGGCACACTGTCCCAAGAACCAGCCGGGTCTGCTTTCTTTAAAACCATTTACTTACAAACTTTAATTCAGCAAAGGTTTGTGTGAGATTGGGGAGGAGACAGCCCCCCGGAGTTGATGTGGACCCCGAGTCAGGGGAGGGGAGCTGGTGGCCCAGCTGGCCAGGGTCGCAGCCCAGGGTCACCTCAGGCTAACAGGTCCTGCTGGTGGGAAGGGGCAGAGTTTATCTGCACCTTATTTTTCCAGCACTGGGCCACAGGGAGGCCAGCTCTGGGCGATCTGGCTTGGGGATAACAAGGCGGGGCTCATCTTCAACATGGGGGAGACGACAGAGGCTCAGTGAGATGCACAATGCCCGACAGACAGTAGGACAGCAGGGGAACCGGGTTAAGCTGGCAGAGAAAGCCCACCCCGCACCTAGGCCTGGGCAGAGAGGGCTGGTGGGACTGGTTTGCCAAGACCAAAACTTTGGCCTTCTACTGTCCCCACAATTGGGGACCTTGGGTAGAGGGGCCCAATCCCCAGGCCAGAGCCATTTGGTCCTGAGTCAAGCTTCCGGAGCTCAGCATCTGAGAGGCTCTGGCCAGCAGGGTCTGGGGCCTGGCTTTTAAGGCATCAGAAGGCGAGGGGGCTGTGGTAGGAAGCAGGGGACCTGGAGCTGGGGTACAGGCCAGAGAGGGCAGGCTGGGACAGGAGACAGCCATGCCTGCAACAAGTGTGGGAGAAAGAAAAAAGGGCTGAGCCATTTCAAACCGGAAAGTGTGGAATGGAGGCCCAGACATGCTGGGCCTTGAAGGAATCAGAGCTGGGGGGGAGAGGGGGAACGTCATGGATTGTTTAAAAATAATAAAAATTAGAAAAGGAAACCGGTCAATTATCAAAGTTAGAAAAGGGGGGGACAGTCTCTGATCCTCACGGGAGGTCAGGGAAACCTCCAAGGCACTCGAAAGGCCAAGATACAGGAGCGACACCGAGGCAGGAGGGGACTCCCAGAGAGACAGACACAGGCGGACATGGTGGAGGGGGGAGGGGGGAGAGAGCAGGCTGGTGCCCCTCCCTCTTAAGGCTGCAGGGTTTCCACGCTGGGAGCAGGCCAGAGGTGCACAGTGCTCCCAGATGCCCCCCGCACTCCTTGGGCTCCTGCTGGTTGGTCAGCAAAGTCTTTCAGAGATTTTTCTATTACCCAAAGGAAAAGAAAAGTAAGAACAAAACACCAGAAAACCCCAAAGCGATTTGGTGCAGGCCTTTGAGCTTCTCCGGCACTGGCCCTTTAGAAAATCCTCTTGCGCTTCAGGTAGGAATCTGCGTAGTGGCCACCAAGGCCCTGGGAGTGCTGGCCCACATAGCTGCCTTCTGGGCTGGGCTCGGGTGAGGGCAGCAGGTGGGCGAAGCTGCGTTTCTGTCCACCCAGTGGGGTCTGGAGACAGAGGGGAAGGCTGGTGGGTCAGAGGCCACCCAGGGGCCACCACTCCCCAGCCCTGAGGGGGCCCCAACCCCTGCCCGTACCTTCAGCAAGTGGCTGTGGCCATTGGGCCCAGGGCCAAGGCCCAGGAGCCCTTCTCCGGAACCCAGCGGGGAGGAGCCAGCCACCTGGGAGAGATGAGAGATGTGGGATGAGGGAGGAAGCAGCCCCCGGGGCCAAGGCAGGGGTTTCAGCTTCAAATCCTGCCGCTGCCAGTTACCAGCTGAGACTGGGGGCTGATTATGTCATCCTTCTGGGCCTCAGTTTCTCCATCTGTGGATTGGGGCTATATCACCCACACCCCGGGCTGCTGGGGAAGGAAGTGAGAGGCCCAGAAGCCTGGGAAATACTACATGCAAGACATACAGGCTTGAGGAGGACGGCCTGTTTTAGCTCAGCCCTGAGCAAAACCGACCCCTGCCACCACCCTGGCCGTGACACCGAAGGTCACATGGGCCCCATGCATCCTGGTTGTCCCTGGGGCCCCGTTCTCAGTTGAGGAGGCTCCTCACCTTGTTAAGGTGGCTCTGCTTGAGGCCAGCCTGCAGGCCGCTGGTGAAGTAGGAAGTGGGTGAGCCCGAATAGAAGTGGGAGAGGGGCCCACCGCCACCTCCGCCACCCCGTTCGCCAAAGCCACTGGGTGGGGGGGACATCTGCAGAAAGGGGGCTGGCTGAGTAAGACAGATCACTGCAGTATCACCCCCTTTTGGAGGTCCCCCAAACAAGTCTGGGCTTTGGCCCCTAGGAGAGTGTTGTGACAATGCCAGCAGAGGGGCCAGCCCTCCCTTCCTCCTCTGGGGAACCTGGGGACCACTACCACATCCACGAGCACAGGCTGGCCAGCTGCAGGATGAGGTCCAAGTGGAGCAGGGAAGTCACTGCAGCTTAGGCTGCATCCCCAGCCTACTGACTGCCAGATGCATGAAGGAAGCCACTGTGAACCCCCAAGACCCAGCTGAACTGCCTGGTGACTGCAAAGAACGGCACCACGCCCCCCCCCCCCAGCAAGAGGGTGAGAATAATAAAATAGTTCCTGTTCTAAGTCACAAAGTACCGGAACTGCTTCTTATGCAGCATGAGCTAACTGATACACCAGGAGGTGGGATGCACAGAGAGGCTCTTACTTTGTGTCGGCTGGGTCCGTGAGGCCCAAGGGTTGGCTCCCGTGGGTGGGAGAAGAGCCGCCGAGGTCCCACATCCTGAATGAGAGTGGGAGAAGCACGTTGAGTGGGGTGGGGTTGGGGGGTGTCTATAACCAACCTCACCCAAATTCAGTTCCACAGCACAGCTGTCATTGGGGAAGTCTGCCTCCTCAAGGCAGACTCTAGTGCCTGGGGCAAACTCAGCAAGCAGGGTGGGGCAGTGACACAGAAGCGGTGCCTGGTCCCAGGGGGGTGGCTGCACCTGGACCCCAGAGGGCTGTGAAAGGTGTGAGGCAGAAGCTTGGAGTCTTTAAGGCAAGCAGGGTACCCAGGTGCGAACACTTGTGGTTTCTGTATTTTTTCACTGGCATTTATCTTGGTTATTTTTTAAAATATCCAGTGTGGGCCAAACAACACATATGGCCAGTCTGCAACGTCTGGCCTAGAAGTCAGAACCATAGAAGGAGCAGTTCTCCAGGGACCGAGATGGGGACTGCAGAGGGGAGCAGTGAGAAGCACAGACAGACAGACAGGAGGCTGAGCCCTTGTCTGTTAAGGAGAAGTAGCCGTGTGGCCACAGGCCTCTTGGGAGAGAGAGACTGACTGACAGGAAGCAGGGTTTCATGATGCGCAGAGACAGACAAGAGACCTGAGCGTCTGGCATGTTCCCTCCTGTCTCCTGTGCACTCAGCCCAGCCCATCACAGTCAGAAAGATGTCAAAATGGAGAATGACGTGCTCTCTGGGGACACAGGGCCTTTGGGAGGGCTGCCCCCAGGGTGGCTGCGTATACTTACTGAGGGGTAGTCGAAGCCATAGCTGTCGGACAGCCCTGGTTCGGGGGGCAGGCGGGCGCTGGAGAGGGGGCTGAGCAGGCGGGACTTGAGCTGGAAGGCTTTGCTGCTGCCGCCACCTCCACCACCACCTCCGGGGGCTGGGGGGTGAGGCAGGGGGCCCTCAGCTGGGCGGCGGCTTCTCCCAGCGCCTCCCCAGCCCCGGGCCTCCTTACCCGCCAGGTTGCTGGCTGGGAGCAGGCTGTGTAGGTTCAGGTAGGGATTCAGGGGGATCCGGAAGTCCTTGGGGGGCTCCCCCAGCAAAGAGACCTGTGGTGGGAAGGCTAGATTCACGAGGGCCCCTAGCAGGGGGGGCGCGCGCAGGGCCGGAGGCTGGGGTGATGGCTGGGCACTGAGGGGGGCCTTACCCCAGGGGGCGTTGGCAGAGGCCCGCTGTCTTTCTGGAGGCCTCTGAGGCCTGCGCCTCGGAGCCCCACGGGGGCGGGGGGTGGAGTAAGCTGGGGTGCTGGGGGACCCAGGCCCATGGGTTCCCGGTCACCCCCAGAGGGGCCGAGCAGTGGTGGCAGCAGGGGTGGTGGCTTCCCTCGCCGGGGTGGCAGCTCAGGGGGCAGGCCCCCTCCTACAGAGAGAAGAAGGGTGTCAGCAGCCCAACCACACAGGACCCCTTCTTCTGGGGCCTGGGAGCCTCTGCTTGGACCAGGGCCACTACATTCGGACACTGAGCAGCATTCTCGAAGTCCATCAACTCCCAGGATGTCCGTGGCTCCCCAAGGAGGCAGGCACCATGTGCTCAACTGACAGGTGAGGACTCAGACAGGTTAGGTCACTTGCCCAAAGTTGCAGCGCTGGGAATGTATCACACCCAGGGAGGAAAGGGAAGGGGAAGTGGGATAAAGCCCAGAGAGATGGGGAGAAGAGGGTTGGCATTACCTGCAGACAGCTCCCCGAGGAGGGGGTTGGCCGGCTGGGCCCCAGGCTGGAGAGTGCCCAGAGGAGAGTCTCCCAAGATCCCAGGTTTCTAGAGACAGAGAATAATGAGCTGAAATGAGGGGTCACAGGCCCAGCCTACAGCCAAACACACAGAGCCTCTCCCAATGTGTGACACCCTGGCCATCACCCACCTGCCACAGTGACCAGGGGCCTAATGCATGCCAGGGCCTGCCCAAGTGCTGGGGAGACCCCGGGAACACGGTCCATGCTCAGCGGGTCAAAGCCTGTCACCCACAGTCAGTTACTGTCAGCAAATCACAATGATGTCCACCGGTTCACATCTAGTCCCCTTGCTGATTATCACAGACGCACAGCATCTAACACACACAACCACCCTGACTGGAAGTGCAGTGTGTGACAGCCATATGTACATTCAGTCATTCTTACTCACACAACAGCCCACGCCCACAGCCTCACCTGTCGGTTACCATCGACACACCCGAGCCACTGACTTGGCCTCAGTGAATCAAACTGGACCGGGTGGTGTATGCTTGTGTGTGTGTGTGCTGTCATTTCAGTCCTGTCCGACTCTGTGACATTAAGGACTGT